CGGCTACATTGTCTAAAAGTAAATACCAATGTTTATAACTTTTTCAAATTTTTATTTATTTTCTTAACTGCTTTATTACGCGCTAGTTTTGGTCGAGTATAATTTAATGTAAGCAAATTTACCTTCAACGGAGACACTAAAATCTGAATCATTGTCAACAGGATTTGAGAGGGGCGTAAACTGCTTGGGATTATTGAATTCTTCGATTAGAATTTGCCATGTTTTATTTCCTTTTCCTTAAAGATATGACATTCTGTAATATCTTTATATTTTCGGATTAATTCCATCAAATACTGTGTTTCTCGATGAGAGAAATTGGGTTGTCGACTTGGTTTCTGGCCGTCTGTCGTGTTTGTATTCGAGCGTTTATTACTTCTCCGAAATATCCAATTAAATAACGTGTAAGAAAATTTTCTAGCCAGGCTAGTGTCCAAATTATTGGTTCCACTAATCTTCTTCTTGATATCTCGGGATTTAGTAATCTTTCGCTAAAATTTGTTGGTGAAATCCTTTCGTCAATAATCTCGGTATTTGTCTTACTTTGGATTTACAAATACCGCAATTAAATAATGCTGACGAAACACCCCGATATATATAAAGTACTCTACCAATTAATACCGCCTTGCAGATTGCAAATACACCTTTTTACGTGCTTATCGTAGATTAAATCAAACTGGTGAAGCGCTTATTCGACACATTTGAATGCTTGAGGATCCGACTCAACTCTGGGAATTCCCAAAGTACCAGACTAAACGTCGAATAGCTAGCCAAGGCTCTAAAACTGATGGGTTTAGAGACTATCAAATTATTTGAACTCCTAAAATTACATAATCTTCTAAAATATATGACATAATTTTCCTGTTTACGTGCAGTGATGTAAATTGTTGTATCCCGTGAGTTTGTAGTTTAAGTTTTGTAATTCTTGTAATCCATAAATGCATATATTTTTTGTATAGGTTTTAAAGTTTAAATGGTAATTTGCACGCGGGCATCGTTATGAACACGTGATACGTATATATATATATATACACGTGATACACGTATATATATTATATAGTAATTTATATATATTTTATTTTAAAAAGTTTAATAATTTTAATTTTATTTTAATTTTAAGAACAAAAATTTATATATAAATTTTTTTCTTTAAAAATATTATATTAATGTAACAATTATTCTTAATATTAAGTAAATGTTTGGTCATTAGAAAGTAAAGTGACAGGAAATATTAGGAAAATACAATTCAGATTTTAATGCCGATTTCAACGATTACGATTTAATGCACATTTTCCTTGACGCTTCCAATTTAAACTGAAAACCTAAAAGTTGAACAATAAATAAGAACGAGAACAAACAAATAAGTAATTAGCGATGCAGTGGCCAGGTTGCAAATAATGTTCTATCGAAGAACTAACGAGTAAGCCCAAATGATCTTAATGGACAGTAGCAAATAGATTTTCCATCACATTTTTCTACTATTTATGACAATTCTTCCTGTTGTTTGTTTGACTATTTTTAACACGAGGAAGGAAGAGTAGCGTAAGTAAATGAATTCGTGTTCAAATTTGTTATCGGATGGTGGATTGACACATTGGCAAACAGAAATCTTAGTTAATTTCTGAAATTTTTCATAAATCCAGGGGCGGATCTATATTTTTCGGGGCCTAGGACTTTTGAAGGCCAATGGGGCCCCATTTTTTGTTAATACAAATAATACTATAAATTATTATTATTATTATTATTATATTATTAACTATTTTTTACTATACGATAAGTGCTGATTGTTAATGAAAAAGTATTAAAAATTCATGATAATAATTCAATTTTTGTAGACCCTTGACACTTGGGGGCCCAGAGCTTAAGCTCTATTAGTCTCTATGTAGATCGCCCCTGCGTGGATCTCTTAGTGCCACACGTGATTTCTAATGATACCTCCTACGTTTGATGAATCCCTGTAAAGTAGAATCTCGTAGAGTTAATTCTGGAGATCGACGTACAGTACAGTACATAGTCAATTGAAAACGTACGGGGGAATGTATGAATCATATAGAGGAGAAGGTGGTATTATGGAACCCCAACTACATTTTAGTGAATTGTAAACAAGGTATCGTAACTACATCCACATTTTTTGTGCGAAAAGTACTGGTAACTAGTAAACTAAATGTTCCTAATTGGATTTTTCGCTAGTGTAATTATAAGTATGGTTTTTGAAGGCTTTTGTACAAAAAGTCCGAAAGTAGGCTTAGAGAAAATCGGGTGGTAATATGGAACCTTACTGTATATTTTCAAAAAAATGCTTTAATGTAGCCAAAAACAAATAGGAAAGGACAAAAAATGTTAAATAATTACAAAATTATTTACTCCAATGTATTTTATCGCAAAAATGCTTTTATAATAGAAAAATATGACCTCCATCAACAATATATATTCCAGCAGCTCTTTTTCGATATTTTCAGACTTTCTACCTAGTGTCTTTTTCCCAAATTGCTCCGGACGAATGTCTGATTGCAAAGAGAGAGTTCGGAGGAGTTGAGTTCCATATTACTGTAAAAGCACCAAAGGGGTCCGTATTTCACGCATCGCCATCTCGAATTAACTTATGTCTGTCGAGACCAAAATTTAAAAAACGTGAACATCACACAGATTAATATGTACCCCTAAGTCTCTGGAACGGAATACATGCACCAGTGAACCTACAACTACACGATTTATATTTTAAAAATAATTAAATTCACTTAGCATTCAAAACTTGCGAATTTTGAAAAAAACAAATTTGCTGATTAAATACGGACAACCGTTTAACTGAAGTAAAACGGGTTTTCCCCTTGCTATGGATGTCTGCCTAGTTCAGTTCAGCCACATTCCGCTGCAGTTCGACTTTATTATCAGTTCGAAATGGGGTGGTTCCATAATACCCGCAGTGTTCCATAATACCACCTTCTCCTCTATGAGTCTATGTAAGAGAACGTGGTACAGTACGGAGGAAGGAATGTAGGGATTATACAAGGGATCCTATATAGAGTGTAGGAATTCATGTAGGAATGCATATAGGAAAACGTAGAACGTAGGAGGACTGTAGGAATTCGTATAGGGATCGCGTACAGAAGGTAAAACATAGGATAGAACGTAATCGATTCATGCGGAAAGCTCAAATTTTATATTCACAGTATGATGAAGCACCAAACACAATGATTTATTACTTATAATTTATTATTTATAATATGATGAATAAATTTTTAAAAAGCCTGCGTGGGTCAGTGTCTGACCCGCGGGTCATAGGTTCACCACTACTGCTACAGGCTATGGTTTCCAAGAATATAATTGATTCTTGGAAACCATAGTCTGCAGAATGGTCCATAAGTGGTTAACATTTAAATTTTTTTATATTTTTTTCTTAATTTAAAAATAAATTTACAAAACAATTTATAAAAATAAAAGCAATCTTTTTAGTTCCCTGAACTATTAAACGAGATAACTAATCAAGTGTACATAGCGTTACAGAAAACTCGAGCGTTTGGACCCTCTGAAATTTTTTTTTCAATTTTTGGATGTTTTTTTAAGTCTTGAAATTTTTTCAAAAATTTTTTTCCGCGCGAAAAAATTTTATCGCGATTTTAATGAACCTTTAATGACGCACGATTAACATTTAATTGTTTTTTATGGGATTTTTTTATCAAATTTCATTCATCGTTCTAAAGTTGTAGTGCACGGATTTTACTTCGGTAAAGTTATTTAAAGCTACTTTCTGATATCAAAAACGACCTCCAATAGTTTTTTTAATTAATATATTTTATTATATATACGTTTAATTAAATCGGGGGGGTCGGAAATCGCAATAAAAAACGTAATTTTTTAAAAATATTTAAAAATATACGGCCAGCTAGTATTCACCCTACTATAAATCCTTGGACTCCTGTAAGTTTTACGAGAATGTCCCGGGAAATCCAATACCAGCTGTTCTCAAGGTCATCCAGCTGTAAACACAAATTTCGCAGAAAGGCGAGACAATGGAAAATAAAGTTTGAAGCTTTTTCTTCAAAATTAACGCATTTCTTTCGTTTTTTCAGTTTAAAGTATTTTTTAATGTTTAATTATAATGTAATTAAAAATTAATCGAGAATCGAGCGGTGAATGGTTTAATTGGAATAATGAATCTTAATTCTAATAATTAAACGTTAAAACATAATTACTTTCCATATTTTTAAACTTTTATTTATAAGGCAAGAGGAGAAAAATCAATAATATAAAAAATTGCAAAATTTTACTGGTTTTATTGCTTCTTACACAAGTTTGCAATTCTGTAAAAGTTAACTTTTTTCAGCTAAATTTGGGTCAATGGACGTGTAAAAGTGGACTGAACGTCTTTAAAAAACATCTTAAGAATGCATTCAAGAGCATGTCATAAAAAACATACCTTTTGTTGCATCGAATTTGTGAAATTTTATAAAAAAAGTATCACTTTCTTTCTTAATTAAACTTCATTTTTTCATATAAAACGGGTTTAAAATGTGAGTGATGCACATTTTAAGTAACGAAATTATCAATTTATATCAAAAGGAGCAGAAAAATAAAGTAGAATAAGTGACATTTTATTTAAAAAGTAGTTTTATAACTGACAGGTATTCGAGACACACACACAAACAGTATGTAACTTATATATAAACAAACCTGTGAACAACGGACACTGACAGAAACAAAAATGGCCGTTATTTTAAGTTCGATTGTAATTATAATTAATTCTTCGATTCAATATGGGGGTTGATAACTAAATTTCTTAAGGCATAAATGTTAAAAAATAGAAAAAAGACACCTGTATACATATTTATTACACTATTCTAATTTATTCAATATTTATATATTTAAAACAAACAAACAAATAAATAACAGGTGGAATTGTAAAATACAGAAATTTCTCCATATAATTTAACTTTTCCTCTGTCGAAATATAAAGCTTTCATACTTTCCTTATACGCCTCATGATTGCTCTGACCTTAAGGAGACAAACTGTTTCTCTTTCGAGCGAGAAGGTGTCGTTCTCTGTTATTCCCAACTCTCCGCTAATTGAAGTCATGAACTCTACAGTAAGGTAACGATATTAATTAATTAACTGTATATATAATATATACTTGCCTTGAATATTAATTATGCAATTTTAGTGAAGATACAATAGACTTGTCATTCGAGATTTTCGATGGAACCGATGAAATGCTCCCTCCTACTTCTCCCGTGGTTATTGTTCACGGTGTCTTCGATTGTAAAGAAAATTGGCAGAAAATAGCAGAAAATATTGCAGATAAATCCGTAAAAAAGGTGACGTATTTGTAATTAATGCTAATTATATACAATTAATTTTGTTAATTAACCCATCGATAAGCACGCAAAGTTCATAAAATCGATCCTAAAATAGGATTTTGGCCTGGTTAAATGATTTAAGGATTGCATAATGTAGCATAAGCGAATCGATTGCTATTATTTTTTCAATTATAAGAAATGTTTATGGTGTGATCAACGGGGTATATTTTTAATTCTCCATTAATTAAGACCCACTACTGATGGGAGATTAATTCTCTACTTTAAATAAATGAATAGAAAACGAGAAAAGTTGGTCCTAGAATAGGATTTCGAAAAATAGGAATGATTGAGGATTGCATAACGTTTCATAAATTAAAGCTCTATAATACTCTTCAAAACGTTTCTGGTAGGAGTTTGATTTTTTAATGCTCCTATACAGTGCTCCCTGTGACAAGGCCTATACAGAGGATGGTCTAGTAGGAACCTCAAAAGTATCTGTTACAATTTATTCATTCCACTTTTTTGTATGTTAATTTTTACATACTAAGGCCTCAAGACCAGGGCCGGATTTAACGATCAGAGGCCCGTGGCACAAATACGGTGGGCCTCCCTTTAAGAGTAGGCAAATTTGATGATTTAGAAAATTTACACAAAATACTGTACCTTCAACTAGATTTCAACTAAAAAGTTGTAAATTTCATTTAAAAATAAGGTTATTGTAAACACATATATTTTATTGTGTTTACAATAACCTTATGTTAATTTAATTGAAAAATACCTATGTGAAATTTTTTCCCGAAATTTTCCGATGTTTCATGGGTTTCTTCCCGGGTTTGGTTCTCTCTGCCTATGGCCCTCATGAATAGGCCACACTAGGGTGTGGCGGTAATAGAAAAAAATTATGTTTAAACATAGTTTTGTGGGGGACCTAGGCACCGGCCCCAAATGCCCTTATGTAAATCTGGCCCTGCTCAAGACTCAAGCAGTTTGGATACTTTCCATTTCCGAGATCCTAAACATACAAAAACTTAACAATCGTACCATAAATGTGACATTTTATATGTTCCAGTGGTGTTAATTAGTGAGATTAATTAATGAAATTTAAATTTTAATTATAATTTAATTTCAATGCAGGTATTCGTGATAGATCTGAGAAATCATGGCGATAGTGGAAAATCTGAAGATTTCTCTTATTCTGCAATGTATAGGGATCTGGAAAAGTTCATTCGAAAGTTAAAAGAACCGGTCATTTTAATAGGACACAGTTTAGGATCAACTGTTACAATGGGTTTTGCCCTCAAACAGGTAAATGAATAAAACTAATATTGTGGGCACATCATTCTCTGGGAATATTTGGAGAATCATGCTATAAATCAGCAGGATTTGGTTAAGAATAAAATTTCACTAGTGTTGAATAATTAATAAAACTTAATTTTAGTTCAAATTTAGTTTCAGTTAATTAATTATTATCAATGAAAACTCCACATATCACACAGAATCCTTAGGATATAACAAAACATTCCTTCAAAGAGATTCTATCAAACAAAAGGAATTTGGTAAGGGGTCGAGTAGGATCGTATCTATGACCTTCAATAGCGTGACGAATAGTTAGAACCATTTATGTTACTAAAAGTAATAATTTGTGACGCCATTCGAAGAGCACTTGCTCTGCTTGTGTCTTCTTTCTTTGTATCGTCTTCTTTTGTTTCTTAAAAAATACTTCAAAACGCTAATGTCTTAAAGGGCAATCTTTTCATAGAAATGAGTGTTATGGTCCTTTTAAATCGTTCTTCATTTAACTTATTTATCAGTTTAGTCCATAACTTGTATTACAATAAACTAGGACAGAAAATTCCTTAATCATACTTGTTGCTAGATGAAATGCTCAGAAAATAAATTAAAATTTCACAATTCATTTCTTAAACCATAAGAACATAAAATTACAGAGTGGATTCAGTTTTCTTCTTTCGCGGCTTAAAAGGAAGGCCAGCATTGAATTTGTGAGTCTGAAATGTAAAAATTGTGAAGATTTTAATTTAGTTTACTGTTTACTTCTAATTACGAATAACTTTTTGTTTCCCCAATTTTTTTTACATTTTCCTTCATCTAGCGAATCGCCAATAGCAACCATCTCTAAATGGCGGCCATTGTTTCCAAGAACGTTCCTCTTCGAAAAGAATGCTAAATAATCTCCAAACAACGGCCACTTCCCATCCGTATTTTCGAATTTTTCCTCCAGTCACCGTGGTTCGCAGGTTTGACTGTATAATGGCCGCGTTTCTTTGTGTAGCAAGAATATAGCAAAAACGACGTCACGATAGATAATTCCATTAAGAATATGGTATTTTCAGAGTCATTTTAGAAAATTCAATCTTTCCACAATGTTTTTATCAATAGTCACTTGGACTTTTTCACATATTTACATCATAATATCACATTATGCATAGAACGCACGTGCAGCGGCCTTGTGATTGCAGCAAACGTTTAGAAACGATTCGCTACACGATAGTGCTTTATTTAGAAACACTTGGCTGCATAAAGAAAAGCAACCAATCCGTTTTACAATTTTCCAGATATTCCCGAAGTATTACTTATTTTACATTATTTATCAATAAACATTGCACAATTTATTTTAAAATAAATTTCAGCCCGACATGGTAAATATGTTGATATCAGTGGACATTTCTCCTCTCGACTATCCAATGGATACGGAAACAAGAATTTTGGGTGCTTTAATGAAAGTGAAGGAAGCATTAGGATCTATTCCTCGAGGTTATCTTCTGAGTAAGGCCAAGGAATTTCTAGAAAATCAATTTGAAAAAAATAATCTGGTGCTTATATTCTTAATTTGTAATTTAAAAAGTTCTATTATTAATCAATGTTACAAAATTAATTTTTATTTGGATTTATAATTGCAGGTATTCGCTCTTCGTAAAATATTTACATCAACTCTTATACAAGAAGGTGAACATTTTAAATTTAAAACTAACTTAGATGCTGTAGAAGAGCATATTTGCAATAGGAAAACCATCAGGAAGACTTATCCATTGTCTGGTTTTTATAAAAATCCAGTTTTAATTGTTTATGGAGAGAAGTCAAACTATGTTACGTATGTATATACTTTAATATTTTAAATTAGTAGCTGTATTTAACATAATACTACAATGATCGAACATGGCACTTATTTCCATTATAACTTTACGTCTTTAATGTTCTCATGATATTATTAAATATTTTACAAATTTGTAAACTACAAGTCGATTCAAAAGTCAGTTAACCAGGATATGTTTTAAGTTTATTTCAAGCTGGTTTAGAACGGCTGCATGTTATGTGCATGTTTGTGATTTAGTCATTACTAATAAAGTAAACGACTTTTAGACCATTCTGTTTATAAATGTCATAATCTTATACTTTTATAAGTCACTAGCAGACCCCGACATGCGTTGTTGTGGCTCAAAATGTATCTATTATAAATGTATAACACTTCCCCCGTGGGGGAAAATTTTTCGAAAAATTTCTTCTTAGTGTACATTCTCTTGACGTACTTTATTAAAACGCAATCAAAAACGCAAAAACCCGCATCTAAAATAATATAATAGAAGCCAAGTTCTTCACGTTAAGACTAAATTCTGTCCCTCTCCCCCGCGGGGGAATATCGAAAAATTCCTTCTTAGTGTACATTCTGTTGACGTACCCTATTAAAACGCAATCAAAAACGCAAAAAACCGCATCTAAAATAGTATAAATAGAAGCAGAGTTCTTTACGGTAAGCCTTAATCTTAACCATCTCCCTTCAGTGGGAGGAATTTCGACACGTATATTATATAAAAACACGTGCGTATTCGAATGCAGCGTTGTGTCAAATTTTCAAAGGAATCGATAGAAACAAACGAACATTACATTTTTATTTATATAGATAAATAGAAGATGATCCGCTTTAGTTCATTTTCACAGAAAAGCGTAATGCCTCACAGAAAAGCAAACTTAGGGCGTCGTACTCGTAGCGCCATCTGTTGGACGTAAAAGCCTTAACCTAGATTATATCTTTTAATTTATATGAATGTTTAACGGAATAATATACAGCCTATGTCCACCCTGAGGTTTCATTCTAAATATTGGTGAAAGAATTCTTGAAATCGGATGAGTAGTTTCGGAGATTACCTGCTGCAAAGAAACTTTTACATACATACATACATACAAACATTACCTCTTTATAATATTAGTATAGATAACCTCGCGTTTTTTTATGCAGCGCTCGAGAAGCGCTTTACAGCGAACACACTGAAACTGGTTTCTAATTGGCCAATACTGCTCGTGACGTCATTTCGCTACACTCTCGCTACATAAAAAAACGCGGGGTAACACAGAGATAAATACCAGCAACGAATTATTTAATTGTATTCCGTAACTCAGTGGTTTTAACCGGGGTACCGCGGCACACTAGTGTCACAACACTGGGGATGACGCAAAACACTGTATAGTGCAGAATAGCGCTGTAACACTTGTCAAGTATACTATTAAAAGCACAGAGCTAAAAAAAACTCTACATTGATAAAGAAGTAGTAGGGTGCTTCAAGAAAAAATTAAAAAGCAGGGGCGAAACTATTAGAAAAAGATTCAAAAACATTGCTGTAACTAATTGCAAAAATTGACGGGGTGAAAGCGCACCACGCTTCTATTAGGTAGGCACCAATTACTTGCGTGCCTGTAATGATTATATCTTTCTATCCTAAGTAGCTCCATCTAGTGAAAATTTATAAATTTAAAAATGTATTTTTGGACATTATATCGAAAAAGCCATCTAGCACCATCAACAGGGCTCAATTTTCTATATGACCGTGCTCTCGACAGCCTTAGCTCTTTTCCATCCTAAGTGATTCCCTAAACATATACCAGTTTATGATGTTGTGGAAGGAATTAAGCCAGAACCAAATAGACAATTGTAGAAGATGGCATTTCATGACAACGAAGCTACAGAAGCACTATTCTGATGCTCTGTGATTTGAGTTCAAATATGGGCCTGATCATATCGGTTGGGATGTCACCCATTTTCCCACCCTGCTGCCCCTATTGAGGCTCCGATCAAATGATAAAGAATTTTATGAAAAACGCTGGTATGCCCATTAATTTCTGTTTCTCTCAATGATATTTGTTTAAATATTTATTTTCAGATCCAAAGATTACAATGCCGTGAAGACTATATTTCCTAACGTATCATTAACCAGCATTAAAAAGTCAAGTCATTGGATTCATATAGAAGAGCCAGATGATTTATTTGACGCCATTTTGTCTTTTCTCTCATCCAAAAACTGATATGGACACCATTTTATTTTACTTCCATTCTAAATATAAACAAGTAATTAATATGTACTTGAACGTACTATGATATTTTTTTTATTAAATTAAATTAATATAAAAATGTGTAAAGTTGTATTATTTTCGAGAAATAGACTTAATCACTATATTACTCATGTTAATACTTCAACATACAATTATTATTTATTACACTGATAAATAGCGCCATTTTCATAAAGTGCCATTAAATACACGTAAACAGATCTTTCCGCAAATACTATATTAAATCAAGAACCCTTCAAGCAGGGGCGAATCTACACAGGGACTAATAGGGCTTAAGCCCTGGGCCACCAAGTGTCAAGAGCCCACAAAAATTAAATTATTATCATACATTTTTAATACTTTTTTATTAACAATGAGCACTTATCATATAGTAAAAAATAGTTAATATTAATAATAATGATAATTTATAAGGTTAATGTTACCTTAGGTTCCAAGATGGCGGCTCTTTTGGTAACCTCGACGGCATGCGCGTTTAGAAATGAAATGTAGATGGCGGTTATCATACTGACGGTTTCGTATTCAAATTACCTTCAAAAATTTCCACTCGGAAAATATGAGGAATTATTCAAATTTTGAGTTCTGTTACAGTGTAGACCCACCATACTCAACCTTTATTTCTCTCGGGCCACATACACATGATAGCTATTACACGCGGGCAGCAACATAACAATTATAATCAAAAACTTACTTAATTTCTCACTTACCCTAGAAATTTATTGCAAACATTTTTTCACAAATTCATTTAAATCTTTTTTTTCTTATACTCTTTCCGCCCTGTAGGCACTAAGAGGGCTTCTTATAGCAGGCTTATTATGGATTTGGCCAGGCCCACAATGGTGCGACCGGGTGGTGAGGGACGGGGCCCGACATATCTGAACGGATCATCCCGAAAAATTCCTGGAGATTCCCTGACTCGACCGAATTCGATCCCGGGTCCCCCAGAGCGGTAGGCTTGACTGCTCGGCCATCTGGCAGTCAATTCATTTAAATCAGTCTTGTAACTGCTGCATGCTACTCGTAAAACGGCATCCAGGCGTAAATCAGTAAGCCAGTTTCTATATATGTTCTTTGCATATTTCATTTTTGAGTATGACGTTTCACATAGATACGTTGATGCGAACAACGTAAGTAAAATTTGAGAACATTTTTTCAGTCTTATATTGATCGGGCCCTACTTTCCAGAAGTGGTAATTATTTCCAGAAGTCAACGTAATTATTTTCCGCTTTCTTTCACGTCCGGGCCACTCACTAAAGCTCAGCGGGCCGCATGTGGCCCGCGTGCCGCAGGTTGAGTATGGTGGGTGTAGACGGACGATGCGTGACGTAATCTTCTTGAATGATAACGTTCGTGTTTGTTAAAAAATTTGTACAATTTTCTGAGTTAATTAATGTCACCTTAGGATACAAGATGGAGACGTTTCCGTTAATCTCAAAACGGAGGCGTGCGAATTATCGGCTATATAAAGAGCTACAGTAAAGCGTCGTTTATCCGAATAAATTGGGGACTGGGGTGGTTCGGATAACGAATCATGTATGAAAAATATATTTATTTATCCCGTGTTGAAATTTCTCTCTGTTGCGTGTCGCTTCGCGTTGAATTTTCGTCGATGCTAAGCCTAACGAAAACTATTGTATCGTTAAAAATTTTTTTATTTTGTGCAAACAAAATAAATTTATTGAAAAATATAAAAACAATAAAAAATTATACTTCAGATGTTAATTTAGTATCAAAAACGTAAAATATTTGAGTAGCTCGAGAAATAGCCGAAGATTGCNTAATAATTATAATAATAATTCATTCAACAAGTGGCACATTCTAGATTTAAATTATGCGTTTCTGTCAATCATATTACGGAAATCTTAATCACGGGTATTCTGAGATCGAACAGACAATAATAAAATTGTTTGTATAAATTGCTAATATAATGTAATAAAAATTTTGAATGGTTTTATTGCTTGTATTTCCAACAGAAAATATATTAAGTTATTATGTGGCTGCGCCGGGGACATGGCCGTGGGTTTTACGTGAATATGTGTACGTTAACGGGTAATATTTTCTTCCAGCGTATTATATCAGTGAAAACGAGTACTTTGCGACGTTACAGGCACAGAACGAACCGTCAACATCTGTGCCCACTTCCAAACAGCGACTCAGACTATGGATCGAATTCCCGCTCGAGATGGGCCAGCGATGTCGACTCAAAGCTAAGCCACGTGTAATCTGCAATACTAGACGTGCACTGATCGGTCTAATGCGGGCAACCCGTGTTGCTTAGGTTGATACACAATTCCGTTCGAACGTGACAATGTGAGCACTTTGTCCGAGTCCAGTGATTTTCTACACGTACCGTACAGTTCAATTAAAGTCAGCCACTGCCTTCTCCCGGAAAGTACTGTAAGGTCTCGTTTTATGCGGTGGATACGTTCTACAGAAAAGCGCATATAAAAAATTCGCATAAAAAAAGACTTTACTTGCCTTGAAAAAGTAGGGATACTTTCCGTAATTTTCTAAAAAATCGCATAAAACCAAAACAACGAGTTAAAATTAACTTAAAACCGCATAAAAAGTTTGCCGAAATTAAAAGAAATAGGCTGCTTAATTAATAAATTACTTCGAATGTCTGAAAGAAATTCATATAAAATTTAATTTCAAAACAATTACAGTTTATACCTTTCAATGCGAAACTCAGAATAATGTAATAGCGACTTGTCGATGGTATCATGTACAAGGGGAATCCCCGAATTGCAAAAGCTCACTCTAAAAACAAATCACTGACATCTGGATGTGAAGAGTTAATTAAATTTTAACCCTTTAGTTCCTCTCCCGAGTTAACTCGGGCAGGTTACATAGCGTTACATAAAACACGGTCCTTAA